CCGGTCTCCCAAAGCCTCCCCCTGCCCCTGCCCAGACATCATCCTCATCGTCATCACCCCTCGCGAACCTTGACTGCACTCAGGCGGATGACGAGGCCTGCAATCCCGATGTTCGTGTGTGTTTTGTCCGCAGACAGTCGGAGGACTGCGGCATTGCAATTTGCCCGACCCTTAGGAAAAACATGTTTGGACGTGAGTTTGACTGTCCTTAGAACGTCTGTTTTGCAGTGCGAAGTCAGTCATTAGGACGTGTTTTCCCGACAAGGAGATAGGGCCATTGGGATGCCCCAGTTCTGAGTTATTGGCCGCCATCTGTTAACGATGCCCCAACTCCTTTGTCCGTTGTATCGCACTATTATTGATTGCTAGTCGTCAGACCATTGCCTGCGTGGACTGTAGAGCCCCAGCACAGAAACCGAAACGGACTCGTCCGTGTTCCGTTCTGCAATCAAGACAAATCGATTGGCGTCAGTCGCTCCCCCCTCCTCCCGTGATGGAGTCAGTTGTTTCTTCTGCCTGACTGGCAATTGGTGTAGCTTACAACGTAGAAAATGAAAACAGAGGGGTTGGGGAAATCCGAAATGTGCATAGTCCGAAAGCGTCGCTAACTCCCTCCAACAGTTTTCGCTGGGTGCTTTATTTCTAAATTGCCTTGCTGTTTTCATTTCTTTTTTTCTTTAATCGTCTACCCTACTAAGGTCCTATTTTTTTTTAAAAGCGTATACTGTACCTATTGCCTGGCGTCCTAACGTTACAGCGTATATCTTGCGCACACAAGGTGTATGTTTTGAAATTCCGTGGTAACGTCGCGCACACTAAAAATAGACTCCCAAAGGGAAGTAGGATTAGTTCACAAAATTGGCAGGCGTGGCTGCGACAGTAAAATGTTTTTCCCGGCAAACCCCCTGTTTTACACGATGTGCTTTATGGACTTGATTCACATTAATTATTCTACCAAAGAGCCTTCTTTTAGATTCCTTCCCCTGGCAGTCAGTCCAGCTCGGTCTTATTTCATTTGGGACGGTCTGTTGAATGTCGCTTAGAGCAAGGGATTGGAACTTTGCGATTTGACTGGAACGATCTATGCTGAGGGGCAGGTTACAGAGTGATGGGTGTGATTTTCCTGACTGTGTAAGTCTCGTGACAGTCTAAAGAGGAGGTTTCATCTTCGCAGGTGTGAATGCCAAACTGGTGTATAGAAGAAAGACCTGGCAAAAATTCGTCTTCTATGCCCCATCTACGTTTCTCAGACTTTGCTGAGAGGTAAATCCACGAAAGGCGTAAATATTTACGCGGCGACATCGCACAAAGGGTGTGACACGCCCCACATCTCCTTGCCGTGTCCCCTCCCCCTCCCCCAGCCCCAGCCCCACTTTCTGTTATGAGAGTGCGGCGCCTTTCCCAAAAGAAGTCCAGATGGGGATGTGCTTGCGCATCTTTTTTTATTTTCGCGAAGAAAATTAGTTTGACCACAACATCGGTTAATAAAACAGCGTAGCATCTAAAAGTCCTTTTTTTTCCCCGGTGGTTTACCACACTTCAGTTAAGGCGTGATTTGCTGTCTCTTCTCATTTATGTTCTCTTCAGCAGTATAGAGTCAGTTTTGTGGTGGCGAAGAATGGGTTGGCACCCTATGTCTTGAAGCAGGCACAATAACCCGAGATTTTTACCAGGCCTGTTATCAGATGTC